CACACACCCACCCACCCACCTACACACCCACATCCATACACACATATCTATACCCACATCCATACACACATCCCTACACACACACAATCTACACCTACATCCATACACACATCCCTACACATCCACCTACACATACCCACCTACACACACATACATACACACACACCTACACACACATATCTACACACATCCCTACACACACACATATCTACACCCACATCCATAAACAAATCCCTACACACCCACCAACACACACACACTTACACACACCCACCTACACTCACACCTACACACATACATACACCCACATCCATACACACACCCACACCCACTCACCTACACACACACATATCTACACACATCCCTATACACACATACATACACCCACACCTACACACACACATATCTACACACATCCATCCACACACACACACCTACACACACACAACCTACACATCCACACACACACCCATGTACATACACACACCCCCTGACCATCCACTTCCGAAGAAAACCACCGCTGAAATTCCTGTGGAGCAGAGTTCTGCCCTGAAGCTGACAGATGTTGAAATCGTCTGGACGGCAGCTAAGAGAATTGCTATTGTTAAGTGCTGTCCAGTCGATTCCGACTCACCGTGTTTCCGAGGAGTCTGAACCACGTTGCAGTCCCCCAGAGTCACACCAGGACTGGTTAGCTCCAACTCTGACTGCCCCACCAGCTTAGTGAAAACCCGATGCTCACAGTGTAAACTCTCCCTTGAAGGATATAACTTCCTTATTAAGTTGGACACCTTGTCCTATATTTACTGCTGTAAATGATGCATGTGCCCCTAATTCCCCTACAAAGCAGACAGCAAGTGTTTCCAACAACACACGCTGACCGTTCTGCCCAACACAATCATACACAGGACCACCCTCCACCAACACACCACCAGTGAGGTGGCAGGGCACCAGGTGTAGGTGCCACCGGAGGTCCGCTCCAGGGCTCCCCTCAGAGATGAGGACCAGATAACAGGCCCCGAAATTCCAGTTGAGGCACCTGCTCAGAGGCAGAGGCTGGTGGCCCGGGCATTCCGGTTCCAAGCCACTTCACTCAGAATGTGTGAAAAGGAAGCGGTGGCCAGCCCCCATCTTTGGAGGTATGTCTGGGCAGGTGGGGAGCCCTGGTGGGAAGGGAGGGGCATCAGATGACACCCACTGGCTCATAAAAGGTGTTGGACAGCCGCCCTGACACCCCCAGGACATCTGCTCCGTGGTGGGCTGTCCTACCCACTACTGTGGGCTTGCAGGGTTTTGTGTCCACCGTGATTAATAAACCATTGATGGGATTTATACATCAGTCTCCTGTGAGTTTGGTTGGTGTGTGTCAGGGCACCTGATCTGTGTGACTGGACACCAGCAGACCCTGCCAGCCCTCCATCTCCCCTGGCTGTCATTGTAGGGACTCTGCATTCCTCCAGAGCCCAGGAAAAGCGGCCCTGGCATCTGACTTACTGGGAAGTTCGCCCCCCTCCAGGAAGAGAACCCCCGGGGCCCCGCCCATGCGCTCCCACCTGTCGGAACAGCATCTCCTGCTCGCTGGCCTGGCGCTGACCCTGCTCGGCCTCCCGCAGGGGCTCCGTCTCCTCCTCATCGCTCTCGGCCGGCTCCTGCTTCACCTGCACTCCGCCCAGAGAGTGTGCCCCCTTCTGGCCGGACAGTCGGTCCAGGTAGGGCTCCTCCAGCAAGGCCTGGTGCTCCCGGAGCTCCTCCTCTGTCTCCTCGGGGTGGATCTCGGGCTGCCGGGCCGGCTCACTCGGCTTGGGGAGGATCTGCAGGTAGAGGAGATACTGAGGGGCGGGGGTCCCACGCTGAGATGTGCAAACAGCGCACGTGCCCAGCTGCTGACCAGGAGGAGGACTGGAGGGCCCAGTCTACCCGGGGGCACCTTGGAAGAAAAGCCTGGCCACTTCCTTCCCGAAAATCAGCCACGGAGAACTCTGCAGAACACAGCTCTGCTCGGGCTCAAGGCACACTCTCTGTGGTGCTGGGCAGTGCCTGGAATCGAGCCAGGGAAGGGGCAGACTGGTGTGCGGCCCCAGAGACAGGCTGCGGGTGACCCCTCTTCTCTTTCCTCAGATGCTCCTGAGCCCTCCTGGAGACACCTTGTTCATTTCCACCCCTGCCATGCCTTCTCCCGACCCCCTTCAGGGAAGCACCCCACAGGTGCCTCCTACTACACCTCATCCTCTTCCTCTGAGGTACAGTTCCCACACCAGAGAACCCCACAGCTCAGCAGTCTGGAATCTGTTCACAGAGATACACAACCATCACCACTGATTTCAAAATGCGTCTTCATCACCCCCTCCGAGGAGGGACTTTATGCCCGTTCCCTGCCGCTGTCTCTGCGTTCTGGACACTCTGCATGTCTGTTACTGTGTCTTCTATTCAGTTCCAGTTCAGAGTGACCCCGTGCACAACAGAAGGAATTCTTGCCTGGTCCTGTCCCATCCTTACAATGGTTGCTGCTTGTGCCCACAATATCAGCCACTGTATCAATCCAAATTGTTGAGAGTCTTCCTCATTTTCACTGATCTTCTACTTTGCCAAGCTTGATGTCCTTCCCCATGGACTGGTCTCTCTTGACAACATGTGCACCGCACTTGGGAGTTTCTAAGGTGCATTCTCAGTGAACAGATGCTGAACTGTGGACTCGAGTGTGGAGTTTTATGGTATGGAAACTTCTTCTGAGACAGATATGTTTCTTCTTCTGGTGTCTGTGGTACATTCCATCTTCCTCACCAGCACCATAAGGAGCTCTGGTAGTGTAGTGGTTACGAATCAGGTTACTAACTGCAAGGTCAGCAGTTCGAAACTATCAGCTGTTCAGTGGGAGAAAGTTGAGGCTTTTTGCTCCCGTAAAGATTTACAGCCTTGGAAACCCTGTGTAAGGTCGCTATGAGTTGGAACCGACTCCACGGTACTTAACAACATCCACACCAACACCACAATTCAAAGGTATTGCCTCTTCTTTGCTCCTCCTTACTCACTGCCTCAAGTTCACAAGCCTAAGTGGTTGTTGTCGTTGTCAAGTTCTGATTCATAGCAACACTATGCACAACCACCCAGTCCTGCCCCATGCTCACAATTGTTTTGTTTGAGACCATTGTAGCCGTCACTGTCAGTCCATCCCAGTTTTGGTCTTCCTCTTCTTTGCTGACTGTCCACTTTACCAAGCATAATGGCCTTCTCCAGGGACTGGTCCCTCCTGCTAAGTCTCACCATCCTGGCTTCTCAGGAGCATTCTGGCTGTACTTCTCCCAACGCAGATTTATGTGCAGTCCACCACACATATGGGGCACATGCGTGGGCGTCAACTTGATGGCAGTGGTTACTGCGGGCTCTGTGAGCAGCTCCTCTAGTTAGACGCTCATTCTCCCACGCTGGCGTTGGGGAAGGAATTCAGGTTCTACCACCCTAACCTTGCTCTCCTGCAACTCCTTTCCTCTTGAGATGGGACATGTCTGAGAGATGCCCACAGCACATCCAGCTGGACTCCACACACCTCCTTGTTCCCACATACCTCCTCCCCTGCCCCGATCTTGCCCCTGTGAGGAGCTGGCCCCCTGGCACCCAACCCTGCCCCCATGGGTTTGTGAGCTGGCCCCTCTGCACCCCCGTGGGTATGTGAGCTGCCCCGCCCCCCCGCACTCCGTGGGTACATGAGCTTTCCCCCGCTGATGCCCCGTGGGTATATGAGCTGGCCCCCGGCACCCCGTGGGTATGTGAGCTGGCCCCCGGCACCCCCGTGGGTACATGAGCTGGCCCCCCAGCACCCCGTGGGTATATGAACTGGCCCCCCTGGCACCCCGTGGGTACATGAACTGGCCCCCCAGCACCCCGTGGGTATATGAACTGGCCCCCCGGCACCCTGTGGGTACATGAACTGCCCCTCCCCAGCACCCTGTGGGTACATGAGCTGGCCCCTGGCACCCACCTTGCCCCCGTGCAGCTGCTGTTGCTGAAACTGCTGTTTGTGCTTCTCCAGGAACTGCTGGTGCTGCTGCTGGATGACCAGATGCTGCAGCGCCTGCGCGTTCTGGGGCAGAGGCGCCGATTGCGTGCGTCCCAACGGGCGGTGCTGCCGCAGCTTGTGCACTGACGGGGACACCCTGTCCGCGCTGACCAGGGACTGGGCGTGGAGGGGCAGCGTGCCCAGGCCTGAAAGACACCCAGTCTGAAGATGAAGTGCGGGAAAACCATGGCAGGGATGACGGGAGAGCGACCAGGCAGTGACTGCCGGTGTCTTGCCCGCTGACGCCGCGGGCCAGCCAGATTATGGAGATCCCAGCTTCCAGCTAAGGGGGCCCCGGCGCGAGCTTATAAACACAGTCCCATGAAATTGGTAGGAAGCAGAGAACTACCCCTCAGGGTTTCTGAGACTCTAAATCTTCACGGGAGCAGACAGCCTCACTATTTTCCTTGGAGCGGCTGGTGGGTTTGAACTTGGGGTTGGCAGCTAACCCACCGTGCCACCCAGGCTGCCACTTGGGTGTGCAGATGATTCTAACTTGGAGGGAACTGTCTGTTGAAAAGGAGTCCCCGTGTGGTGACCCAAGCCCATCCAGAGCCATCTGACTACCGACTTCCAAATGTCCACACCCAACCCTGAAATCATGCGGCAGGTCTACTCTGTACCCACAAGGTCACCGTGAGTTAGAATCAACCTAACACCAGCTGTTGGGGTTATCTTTTCCCAAGAGGAGTGGGGATCTGCTGAAAATCCGGCCAGTTTAGTCAGTGTTGAGGGGCTGGTGTAATCTTCCTTCTCAAGAAGGAGCCCCTCTCATCTGAAGAGCCTGTGTGAGTAGGCAGTAGGCCGCGCAGGAAGATGAGACGAGAATGTCCCAGGCCTACAATGGTGCATTGTACTCCCCCAGTCATGCGGGGGGGGAGGGGGGCAGGGGCAGAGAAATGATTTTGAGTCTCAATTGTTTTTAGAGTCTTTAGTTACAAAGATGGCATGGGAACTTTGAAGTGTCACTGTCCCAATGGCATCCTAAACACATCTGACACCTTGCAGCCAGCCTACCCATCGCACACGAAGGAGTCCAGGAGGCTGCTTCACCCTGAATGTTTCACTAGAATATCTTCTGTGCACGTGGGCCTTGCTGTCAGACCCAGACCGACTCTCCCAGGCAACCTCTCCCCTCTAGGCAGTTTTCACCCATCTGCACTTGCTCTTTTTCAAACTGTCGGTGCTGCGGGGAGGGGGGTGGTCACCATTTTTACAAGGTTGCGGGCAAAGAGAAGGCATGGTGGTACAGAGGGGACAGTCCACTGCTGACTGGAAGGTCGGTGGTTGGAACCCACCAGCCGCCCCGTGGAGGAAGATGAGGCGGTCTGGGTACAGATTTCTGCCTGGGAAAGCCTCGAGGGTCACTCCTGGCGGCTTTGGCTAGTCTGGGTTTCATGTTGAATGAAAATCACCCCGTTGCACAGTTAAAGTACCACAGCCATCGAGGACGTCGGTGAGCGGGGAGGAACCTCATGGCATCCCGTAGAAAGGGACCTGTTTCTACGACCCGAGAGCCGTGAGAGTAAGTATTGACCATGGAGAGAGGGGAGCAGTGAGGGGTGGTGGACCCTTCGGATGGGACAGGGAAGGGAGAGGGCAATGAGGGCAGAGCGTCCTGTGAACCGGGGCTCCCAGCACTGGATCTCAAGTGAACAGGCTCAGAAGTGTGTTTACTGGCCCTGGTGACACTGTGGGGCAGGGGAGCTGATCCAGGTGTGCAGACCCACTGGTCACAGGTGTGAACTTAGCTGGACTGAGTGAAGACTCAGCGCCACACCGCTGCCGTCTCCTCCTCGTCTAAGCTGCCCCCACCCACACCCTGGTCTGCCTGCGCTCACCTCCCTGTATCCCCTGCTAACCACAGGAGCCAGACCCCCATCAGGAGCTTAAAGCAAACGTGGACCTGGCTCCTGTTTCTATGCCATGTGCGCTCTCACGTTGGGGAGGGTAAGCACTGGACTGCGAACCACAAGGTCGGAGGTTCAAACCCACCAGCCAGTCTGTGGGAGACTTTCTGCTCTCACAAAGATCTGCAGCCCAGAACTCCCATGGGGCAGTTCTAGCCTCTCTTTACAAGTTTTTGGTCTAAAGAATAAACCAGAAACCCCTGCCCTCGAGTTGATTCTGTCTTACAGCCACCCTACAGGCCGGAGGGGAACCAGACCACAGGCCTCATGAGGTCCTAACTCTCACCCAGCCTCCTCTTTCTTTTGTGGAGTGGCTGGTGGGTTTGAACTGCTGACTTTGCAGTTATCAGCCCCGAGCTTAGCACGTGGGGCTTCTGTAATAAAGAATGAGACTGATGGAAACTCTTGACTGCTCACTGAAAGAGTGAAGGTTCGAGTCCAGCACACACCCCGTGGATCCCATCCTACTCTGACATCCGAGGCAGAGCCACGAGTTTTCAGCTGTATGGAAGGCTCGAGCTCTAACATTTGAGGATGGAACGTGGGTGTCCATTCGGGGAGGGACGAGGCTCCCTTGCCCGCCTCCCCCTGAAGGCCTGAGCAGAGCTGCAGCGAGTTGAGGGGGGCGCCACACTCCCCGCTCACCTGGGACTCACCTGTCACTAACGGTGCCTGTGCTGGTGGCTGCTCCAGTAGCACCAGGCGCTGCAGGACGGAGCTGTGAGCCGCCCCGCCGTCCCGCTCCAGGGGCGAGGTGCTCAGGTATGGGGCCAGGTGAGTGCCGGGGAAGAGGGAGATACGCTGCTGTAGGGCAGGGAGAGCTAGGCGCTCGGTGTCCTGCTGGCCAGCCGTCCCCTAGATGGAGCACAGCAGGTGGTCAGGGCGAGGGTCTGGACGCACCCCTCCCCCACAGCCTCCCCAGACCACCGGGCTACTTACAGCGGAGGGGCCGGTGGCAGGAAGGCCCAGCGTGATGTTAGGCAAGGAAGGCGATGTGTAGAGAGGCAGCTGGGTCACCGAGCTCTCACGGGACACCAGTCTGTGCACCAGGTTGGTCTGCGGGCAGAACACAGAGTGACAGTCATACACAGGGCGCGTCTCAGAGGAAAGGTAGTGGACGTGGGCCGAGGGTGTTACCCTGAGTCCCCAGACACAGACACACAGTGGACAAATGACCACATGTGCCTGGGAGAGTGCCCCAGGCAGAGAGACTGCACACCCTCAGCTTCCTGAACTGCCAGTCACTGTAAAGGTGTCGCTGGGTCATCCAGGATGACGTCCCTAAAACAAGTGGCCTTGGAGTCAGGACACAGGGGCAGAGACCAGAGGGGAGAAACAGTGAGGAGTAAAATCACAAAGACACCCCCAAACATCGAGGGCAACATGTGGTGAAAACAACATTGATTAATCACAAATTGCGCTAGTATCAATTCATTAAAAACAACGGGACTTCAGAAAGTCTGTAGGGGAAATTCCCTTGTCTTTCCAGGTGATTTTTCCACCGACTTTTTGAAGTTGTGAGAGGCGTGCCTGGCAGAGGAGGGAGGGGAAAGAACGTCCTGGAAAAAAGACCCCACAGGGGAGATTTCAGAAGCTCTGTAATTACCTCAAATTGGTGATTCTTCTAAAAAAAATGGGAATACTGTACTGACCCTGAGGAGGAGAGCAACACTGTGCTTAATGGACGATAAATGGACGTACCCTCTGTACGGGACAGTCTGAACGTCCATGTCAAAAACCTTAATAACCGATCTCACTTGGCCCTAAAGCACAGTATTTGGGGAATCTAAGGAAATAATCTTAACTGCAGACTTGTTTATAGCCGAGTAAGTCTTCTTGTTATTGGGTGCCGTGGGGACTCGGTGTATGACAGAACGAAACACGCCATCCTCACAAACATCCCTGTATCAAACATCAGTCTCTTGTTGCAGCCACGGTGTCAATGAAGCCCGTTGAGGGTCCTTCCTCTTTTTGGCTGACTCTCTACGAATCCTGCAGTCAATCAGTTAAATGAATGAAGGGAGAGTTATCTGCGGGGACATTCAAGGAGGCTGGAAACACCTTGTCAGTGCCTTCTTGAAAGCTTGTTTGTGACTCCATCTATTGTGAAGCTATGAAAACAAAGGATAAAGCCTGCTCTCAGTGGGCTCAGTGGACAGTTCGACCACCGTGGGAAGCCAGGAACAAGGCTGAGTGGACAGATGGGGAAAGAGCAGGTAGGTGCAGACCTCGAGGAAGGGAATCAGCGATGTTGAGCATCTTCCTACTTCTAGAGTGGACCCTCTGCTAAAATCATGTTTTCATCACACCTTATCCCAGGTGCAGTCAATACTCAAATGAACCAGCAAAAACCAAGGACAGAAAGAACAGACAATTTTATAAGTATGTGGCAGGTAGGATGCTGGATGAGAGAAAGGAGGCTTGAGGGCAGACAGGCAAACAGGAAGATCCATTTCTCCACTCAGGAGTTATATTCTGAAATTTCATTACAAGAGAAGAAGTCAGTGGGCTGGGGGTTTCCTCCCACTCCCGGTGTTGAAGTGACCTGTGTCCTGCACTTCTTTGGGGGAGCCCCTGTATGACTCCAGAGCTTGGAGTCATTTGGGAACACCTGCCTTACGAATTTTCATCCTTATAAGACAGAAGTGGCCACTCTGTCCCTTACAGGAAACTCACAGGTTTACAGTGTCTTGTTCCAGAGAAATAGGGCAGCAAAGGTTAACGGTTAAAGGACTGTTCTCCAAAAGCTGGAGACTTATCATATCAGCAAGGTCTTCTTCAAGAAGAGACCAAATGGCCCAAATAATGAATGCCTGGGATCCCAAGGGGCATTTACTGAGTGGCAGGTTCCTGTCTGGTAACCAGAGCTATGGTTTACTCCATCGATCTTTGGAGAGGAAGTTGCCTCCTGACACTTATGTGGTCATGTTGCTGAGTGTCCCTGACAGGTAGGTAGGCAGAGCCCCCAGGAGGGGCCCTCGTGGCTCTGATCCACTGGTTCCATATGTCCTTCACTGTCCAAACACGCACGCTGGGATTCTGCTGTAAGCCCAGTGGCACACGGTCAGAGCATCTGCCATGTGCACAGGGACGGGATGGAGTGGTCTCTGAAGGTCACTTAGAGAGTCCCTGCCACACTCACAGCCCAGCTTTCCTCTGTTCAGGGATCTTTGAGACACCGGAGTGGCTCTGGTAGCGTAGTGGTTACGAATCGGGCTGTGAACCTAAAGGTCAACGGTTCGAAACTACCAGCTGCTCCGCGGGAGAAAGATGAGGCTTTCTACTCCCGTAAGGATTTACACTCTCGGAAACCCTGTACAGGGTCGCTATGGGTCGGAACCGACTCGACGGCACGTAACAACAACAACAACAACACGGTTAGCCACATATGGGTCTGGGAGAATCAGGTGGGGAGTGTCCACATGCCGTGTGGGGCCAGTCTCAGGGGCACAGAGCTCTCAGAGCTGGGCAATCCCGATAACACTAAGAGCTGCTGAGAGCAAGTCTGTAATCACTAAGTCCAACCCCGTCCCCAGCCTGGCTAACTTGTGTCTGAGGTGAAACACCAAAAACCATACCTTTTCCATTTGTCAATTCCTTTAGATACCTGTTAGTCTACAGTGATTTCTAGGACATGTGAGTTACAGAAATTGACACCTAACTTAAACTGGAAACATCCATATCTACCTCACATCAGGTTTTGTTACTGTGCTAACCACCAAGCACATACCTGCCCACATTAAACACAAGTACGTACAGCCACTATCTACAACAGGGGTGGGGAATGTGCCCGCGAAACTATTGGTCAGTCCCTGCCAAGGTAACTGCGCTTCCAGCCATCACGTTTCTTGTTAAAGTGCCGCCAAGTTGGTACCGACTCGTAGCCACCCTGTATTGGGTTTCCAAGGAGCTGCTGGTGAGTTTGAACCACTGACCTTGTGCTTTATCCCACAGCACCACAGGACTCCAGCCATCACATTAGGGGTGAGTTAAAGAAATGTTTGACCAAATACAGCAGGTTAATTTTTAAGTTGATAATTTCATTATAACTCACGAATGATGTTAGAAATTTTGGCAGAAAAAGGATTCCCCACCCCTGCTCTACAATACGCATCTGGCGTTCCTTCCTGCTGCAAGGTAGACATCATAGAGAACCTCTCTGTCAGAAGGATCATTGTGACATTTAATGGCCTAAACAAGTCCTTCACCCAGGAGGCCAGAAAGGACCATAAACACATGATTAACTAAAGACAGTAAGAGAAGGGGGGATCCAGCAAGCTAGGATCACAGTGCTGAAGGCACTCTGAGTATGTATTATCCTTGTTCCCGAAACATCTTTTCTGAACCCTGAAATTAAAAACTGCTACGTTCTTGTACGGGCTACTCCTGTGCAAGGGTACAACTTGTTTCCAAATATTTTAGGAGGAAAATAAACTGACTGCACTTAATAAGTTATAATTTCTTGTGCGTGAGAAAACTCTGAACCAACTCCCACTCAACAGAGCCGGCCTCAAGAAGCAGCCTCCGTCCTGGCTCTTACACGAGATGGTGAAGGGCCTCCCCACTGGACACCCACCACCACACCGGTTCCCTACCTCGGAGCTGCACAGGCCCTGGGGGGCCAGGAGCTGAGGAAAGCCAGACGAATGCCTGGGAGGACGCTCCTGGGGGAGTCACCCCTGGCCTGTTCTGAACCATGTACAGCTGGCCAGGCACCTGGCTGTCTCCCAGGCCGCCCTCCGCTCAGCTGGATGTGTGTTCCTCAGAGCCTTCTTCTGCCTCTGGACCCCCCTGGCTACCTGGTGACGTCCCTCCCTCTGAGTTTCCCCTGACCCTCGGTCCCCCTCTCTGGCCAGGCAGCATGCACAGTCGGGTTTTAACCGGAGTCTTTTTCAATAGAAAGTAAACACTTAGATTCCTGGGGGGCGGGTCCTGCCCGCCTGAATCCCATGTGTGCCCACAGTCCTGTTTCGATGCGCCTCACAGAACACGCTCAGAAAGCCCCTTAGGAGTGTGGGTTTCGGTGCTTCTGAAGAGTGGCTCAGATGCCCACATGGACCGCAGGTTTAGGGGGACCCCGTGGCATCTCCCTTTCCCCGACGTGGACGGTCAAGGTGAGTCGCACTGACCTCGGCAGGGATGCTGGGGACGGCGGGAGCGATGCCGTTTTCGGAGCTGACATTGCTGGAGCTGTTGTTGGGGGAGCTGGGCCCGGAGCCCGGGGCACTGCTGCACGCTGAGTCTGTGGGTAGGAGAAAAGCTGTCGGGAGCGCGCACGCACAGGAGCGGGATGTCTGGGCTGGAGACACTGCGCCCCCCGGCGGGGACAACACCAAGTACCATGCCTCTGCGGGTTTTCGTTCAGGAAGGTGCGTGCTTAGCACAGAAACCCCAACAAGGAGGTGCACACCCAATCTAGAACCGGGGGTGCAGGATGTACCCTACATCGGTGCCGCCCTGGCATCCTCGGGGGCTTTCTGAGGCACGTAGCTCCCCGGACGCCCACCTCGGCCTTTTATGAGGTACACAGCGTCCACTTCGCAGCACCTTTGGACTTCCAGTGGAACACCGTTAGTAGAGGTGATCCCTTAAATGCGTACCCATCTCAGGAACACGCAGGGGCGTGGTAAATGAAGCCCCGCCCCACCAGCGGCCTCTTCCAGGTCAGGTGATATCAGACATTGGAAAAAGGTACACGTGCCCTTCAAAAACTCGGCCATGCAATGAAAGCAAACACAGGAGCGGTGGGCCCCGGGTAGCCCAATGAGTCTGGATTTTATCCTGACTTCAGAAAGGAAGAAGCCCTATAAGGTGTTGGTTCAAACCCACCAGCCGCTCTGTGGAAGAAAAAGATTGCCTGCTCCCGTGAAGATTGGCAGCCTTGGAGACCCCAAGAGACAGTTCTGCTTTGCCTTCTAGGGTCCCTATAAGACGGAAGCTGACTCGTGGGCACTGGGTTGTGTTTTGGGGTCTCCCAGATCCCTGAAGAGAAGACCCCCTCCTCCCTGGAAGGCGTGCCTCCACCCCCTCCTCCCTGGAAGGCGTGCCTCCTCTCCTTACAAATCACCAGTGCTCAGAGCCAGACCCTTCAACCAGGGGCTGCCACACATGCTGGGGACCCCTAAAATACCCACGTGCATTTTTAGGGTGAGGCCATAGGTTCAAGCCTCCTGGAAGGCTCTTGGACTTTGTCCGTGGTCTGTGTGAGGGGCAGTTCCCTAAAAGCCCCCTTCTCATCTGTCCCTGTGACCACAGCTCAGTGAATGACCAGCTAGAGCCTCACATGTCAGAAGCCCCACTCTGCTCTGTGTTGGCCCCTCCCCACCCAGACCCCCAAGGGCATTCCCACGTCCTGCCTCAAGGCCCAGGGGGCACCTCCCCTCTGTCTGGGTCCTAGAGACAGCACCCCTTCTAGCTTGGGTCTGAGCAGCATTCCTCTCTCTGTATCCAGGCCCTGGGGGGACAGTGCCCCTGTCTCTGGGTCCCAGAGGGCATTCCCCTTCAGTCTTGGGTCTGGTTGTAATCTCCCCTCAGCCTCGGGTCCCAGGGGCATCCCTCCTCTGTCTCCAGGACCTGGGGGTAGCACCCATTCTGTCTTAGGTTTTGGGGATTTCCACTCCCCAGCTCCATCTCCAGGTATAGGGTCCGGCCTCTCCCTAAGCAGCACAGGTGTGCACTTCTGCTGTTGGCCTCTAGATGGGGATCAAGAGCAATCCTTGTAATGCGCTCCAGCTGCGGCCCTTTGAATTCTTTTCTGACAACTGAAGGTACCCCCCCCTCCACCGCCCCGTGACACTGTGATGGGAAGGTGGGCAGCCTGCTCCCACAATGGACGATTGCTCCCCATGGGTTTGGGGGCGCTTTAATGGGCAGTGGGAACACGGCAGGGGCTGCTCGCTGCCCTCCGGAAGTTGCTGCTTCAAGTGCAGGAACGGGGTCAGTGCCATCGTGGGGTGCAGAGGTGGCTTGAGGGGCCCGGCCTGAGACCACGTGCCCAGAGGGGGTCTCAGAGGGGCAGGATGGCTGTTACCTGTGACGTCCAGCGGACGCTTTTTGAGGGCGGTGACCACGGGGCCATCTTTTCGGCGTAACAGGGGGCTGCTCCGTCTCTCAGCCACTTTCTGCTTTAGTCTGGAGCGTAACTTCAGGTTGGGCTCCGAGGCTGCACAGAACGACCAGTCAGCATGGGACACCCTAACACTCATGGGGGCACAGATCTGCTCCTGCCACAGCCAGCCCGTGGGGTGGGGCAGGGTGCCCTCATCCCGTCCCCATCCTGAATGTCAAATGTAGGGGTTGGCGGTGTCTCCGGGCTGCTGCGTGGCTGACCAGTGCGCTGGCTGGGCTCCCTGGGAGCTCTGATGACCCTGTGATTATCACAACTCCTCAGGGTGTCCCCACGCGCCCCACAGAGCTCAGTCCTTCCTCTCAAGGGTAAGCTGCCAGAGCAGCCAGCCGCCTCGGTGACACAGGTGAAGACCCCAAACCCTGAACCGGCCACCAAGTCAGCAGAGCCTGTCGACAACACCTAGATGTAGGGGTGCCTCTCTCCCCCAGCTCCCCTGGCCCTGGATGTGGGGGTGCCTCTCTCTCCCAGCTCCCCTGGCCCTGGATGTGGGGTGTCTCTCTCCCCCAGCTCCCCTGGCCTTGGATGTGGGGGTGCCTCTCTCACCCAGCTCCCCTGGCCCTGGATGTGGGGTGTCTCTCTCACCCAGCTCCCCTGGCCTTGGATGTGGGGGTACCTCTCTCACCCAGCTCCCCTGGCCCTGGATGTGGGGTACCTCTCTCACCCAGCTCTCCTGGCCCTGGATGTGGGGTGTCTCTCTCCCTCAGCTCCCGTGGCTCTGGAGTGTGGTGTGTAAACAGCTGTAGGTATGTATAATGCCATTTGCAAATTTGCAAGCTTAACCACACAGAGGGTCCTGCTCAGGGAACTGAGGCCTCTGCAGGCCAATTAAGTCATGGTCTCAGGAGGGGCTCCCCGGCCTGAACCTCGTGCACAGAAGGTTGGGTGTGGAATCGCAGCCTGTCCTATCTTGGTGTTCCCAGCAGACCCCAGCTACAGAGGCAGTGCACTGGAAAGGTTAAGGGTGTTTCCCACAGACTTCCTGAAGCCCCCACCCCCACCCCCACTCCTCAGTTCACTAGCAGCAGGTCAGCACTGGGTTGCTACCACAAGGTCGGTGGTTCAAACCCACTAGCCACTCCTTGGAAACCCTATACAGGGTCGCTATGAGTTGGAATCAACTCAATGGCACTTCACAACAACAAATGGTAAGGGGAGGCTTCAGAAAGTTCACGGGAAAATCCCATCACCTTTCCACTCCCATTTTTCCATGGACTTTCTGAAGTCCTGTAGGTTCATTTAGTGACCACACTGATTAGACATGACCCTTATCTGGTTCAGGCTGGTGGAGGGAGCCACACAGCAGGGCAGGGCCCTGGAGAGACAGGGGGTGTGGAGGAGGAGAGCAGGGGTCCACCGTCCACCGAGTCCCTATTAATCCCATCCATCCAACTGGCACCACGACGGCCCACACCCACAACTGTCCACAGTGCCGTGGTGTCTGGGAGCCAAGAGACAGGTGCTCCCAGCACACAATGGACAGAACACTGGAGCACCCCGGGGTCAGTGAAGTGGGCAACTCCCCAAGCAGAAGATGCCACAGTGGTCACTATGACAGTGTGTCACCAGGCAGTGATGAGGCTTAGCTTCCCCTTCTGGAACGGCCAGGGAGCCCACAGAGAGCACACACACATCCCTTCACTCGGACAGCAGGCCACACCCACAGCCCTGCAGCAGTGAGGGAGAGTGCGGTTATGGACGAGACCCCTGCACCTGGACAGCAGAGCCTGGCACCCACCTGTCTTCCTCAGAGGAAAGTCGTCTTTGGCGTCATACATGCCCAGGACGGGGGGGTTGTAGGAGGTTGACACCCCACTCTGGGGGGGCGAACTCTGGTCCAGCGAGCTGTGCTGTGTCTTCCTGAAGGCAGAAGCAGAGTGGCCCTTAGTGACCGCGGGTACGCTCCCGATGGTTGTCCTGGGGATGCCAGCCCACTTCCACCCTCCCCGAAACTAACTGATACAAACTCTAGATAAGCAAAAGGCACAGACAGACAAAACCCCCATGAGGACTCCCTCCTCCACTGCGGACCCCTGCCCAGGCCTGGAGACCACCATCCGCCCCCATCCATGCCCTCGAACTATGTTGGGCACTGCTCTTGTTTTCTGGCTACTGGTCACACCCGGCTGGGCAGGGTGTCCTGGGATTCTTAAGTCAGGGGGCTCTGGGTGTGAGGGGTCACAGTGGGGTTGGAACCAAGAGGCATCAGGATCAGACACTCGGGGAGTGGACGCTGGGCCCACCAGGACTCAGGAAGTCATGGGCTGTGCTCTGCAGGAAGCAGTCCGGGGACTTTCCTGTCTTTTGGGCAACAGGTGGGCAGCAACCCAGTCCCTCTGCCGTGGGAGTTCACCTGTGAAACATGACCCCTTTACAAAGAGCTGAGCACTACCCAGAATCCTTCAAATGGTTGGAGCGTGGTGTGCCATGTGACAGAGCAGAACCATTCATCGGGACCCCCCAGGCTGCCTGTCCTCTCTGCATGGGGCCAGGTCTCCAGCTCCTTCTCCTGTGGACCTGTTAGCCGTCCAGGGCATCACCTACGCGCCACCAGGGCTCCTTTCTCAGGACTAGGAGGGTCCTGTGAGGTCCTGACTGCCTGCTGACATTCAGGGTGACCAGGCGTGGCACCAGCTTTGTCGGAATCACCAGCTGAGTCTTACCAAAAACGCTGAAGATGGAATGAATTCTGAGGGTCCTCAGACTGCGAACGGAATCTGCTTAATGACTGGGGACGAGTTTGCCGACTGGGTTATTTGGAATCTGTGAGAAGATTTATGTGAATCCACAGAACTCCACTACATGCACCTGGACTGATTTGACGTGAGAACGTGATCTCTTACACACACACACAGAGGTGCACGTTTCAGTGTCTGAGGGGGAGCTCATGTAGGATCGTGTGAACGGGATCACAGAGACAGCTTAGCATCCGGACGGTGGCACCTCCGGCTCCCAGCCCTGGACACGGCCAGTACTGACTCATAGTGACTCCATGGAGAATAACAGAACCAAACCCTGGCTGGTCGTGCGCCCTCCTCACAATCATCACTGTGTCTGAGCCCACTGTAGCAGCCACTGTGCCAGTCCGTCTCACTGAGGGTCTTCCTCTTTTTCTCTGACCTTCCCCTCTACCAAGCATCATGTCCTTCTCCAGGGACTGGTCCCTCCTGACCACATGTCTAAAGTACGTGAGACAGAGTCATGCCATCCTGGCTTCTAAGGAGCTCTCTGGTTGTACTTTTAACACAGAGCTGTTGGTTCTTCTGGCAGCCCATGGCACTTTCAGTATTCTCCTCCATAACTCAACACTGTAACTCAAACACATCAATTCTTCTACAGTCTTCCTTATTCACTGTCCAACTTTCGCATGCGTATGAGGTTATTGAAAATACCATTGGCTTGGGTCAGACACACCTCAGTCCTCAAGCTGACATCTTTGCTTTGCAACACTTTAAAGAGGTCTTATGCAGCAGCTTTGCTCAATGCAGTATTTGATCTTATAAACTTTCTATGCCAAATTGTCTCCAAGCGACGGTTCCAGAGAAACTCTCACCAGCATCTGAGAAGTCCAAGTGCTCACTCCTTTGCCAACACGGATTTTTTCATTCCGGCCACTTTAGGGAGGCGAGGTGGCATTCAGGGGCAGTGGTAGATTTCTCTCCCATCCTCCACGCGGGAGACCCCAGCTCTGTCGGCGGAGGCGAGTGCTGCTATGATGCTGACTAGATTTTGGTGCAGCTTCCAGACTAGGACACACTGGGACAGACCTGGTAAGCTGCACTGAAAACCAGCCGATGAAAACGCACTGGACCACAGGGTGTGAGAGCCAGCATGTCGTACTGCGGAGTGCGGGCTTATCATGTATGAAAACACATTGGACCACACGGGTCTGGCAGCCAGCATGTTGTACTGCAGAGCCGCGGGGTCGCCATGAAAGAAAATGCATTGGACCACAAGGGTCTGAGAGCCAGCATGTCGTACTGCGGAGCGTGGGGTCGCCATGAATGCATTGGGACCCATCCAAGGATGCTTAACAACAGTAGCAGCAGCAGTGTGGGTAAGGTGCTGGTCCTAGGTGGCTTGCTGAACACCTTCACACTACTGCCCATTCATGTGTCTTAGTACACGCGTCTGTTGTAACTCCCCACCCCACCCCCACCCCCACTCCACTGGGCTGCTTGTCTGTTTCCTGTTGAGCTGAGAGAGTTCGATGCCTATGATAGATACAAGTGTTTTCCCAGATACATTCATCAGGGATATTTTCTTCCAAGCCCTGGCTTTACTTCTCAAAGAGAATTAAAAAGACTTTGATGAAACCTCATTCATTAACCAAGCTTTTGGTTTACACATAATGATTTTCATGAGAAATCTCTGCTCCATCTGTGGCTGTGGGGATGCTCTCCTGTCTCCTTCTAGAAGTTTCCTAGTCCTGGGCTTTACCTTTAGGTCTGTGGTCCACTTGGGGTTGATCACCACGGACGGTGTGCGGGAAGGGCCAAATCCAGCCTTCTGACAAACAACAGTGTTTGCATCCCTTGGCCAGTGAGTGTGAGTCCCGTGTGTTGATGAGACCTAAGAGTCCTGCCAGCCTCCACTCATGCTGCAGATCCCGTGTCATTCCAGAAAGAGGGCACACCTCCTCCTATCAGGGGCATCCCCTGGGCCAGCAGTTGGTGGTCTTGGCCCCGCCAGAAATGACCAGGAGAGCGAGGCCTCTAGCTCCCATCGCCTGCTTCCCAACAGCCCCTGGCTGAGCCCCCCATCTCCAGTTCCTCTCCAAGTGCAGCTGCTACATCCCCACAGCCTCCTTGACTGTGGACACTGCCTCCGTCCACTGTCCTGCTCTCCATGACCCCAGCGTCCACTGGAGTTGAGGACCTGAGCAGGACAGACAGGCTCCCTCCCATTCTTTCCTGGCCCAGGAAAGCGATTCTTACCCGAGAGCCATGAACACCTCAGTGTGCTTACTAACTTGACTAAGGATCCAGAACATGGAGCTGAAGTGAGGGGGTGGTGCCCACATTCACACACGAGCCTAGCCTGAGCTGGCCCCTTTGTGGCTGGAGAACTTGTGAGCAGTCAGAAAGAGGCGTACCCCTCAGGCGCGCAGATGGGAGGCAGGTGACGGCGCGCCCACACTTACCCATACCAGTAGCGGGGGTCACTGGAGATGCAGTGGTTCAGGTTCCGGTGGGCCAGAGCCTTTTTCTTGTTCAGGACAAACTCTTGCAGCTTCATTTTCACTTCTGTGCTGGCTACCGCACCTGGCACGTGAGGAAGGAGAGAGGGTGAGTCACGGCAAAGAATCAGGCTCTAATTTGGGCTGCTTCCGACACCCGGAAGACGGTCTCAAAGGCAGGGGACAGGAGCAGCCTTAATGAGAGGGCTGCTCCCCAACAAGACTTCTCCCTAATTGTGCGCTGTTCCAAAGGCAGATTAATCATCACCGAGACGCATTCTCACCCAACACAAAGCCCATGTTCCCACATCAAGAGCGATGTGAATAGAGCTGAGGCTGTCAGGTGGTCCTGCTCTGGCTCCAACCAAAGCAGCTGAGCCTTAGAGAGAGGGGTCTGTGTGTCCTGCCCTACTGCTCCCTTGCTGAGCAGAGTGGAGTTCACCAAGATGGACTGAAGGCATGCGGTTGTTGTTGTTGTTAAGTGCCGACAACTCGGGTCCTACGCACAGTGACCCTGTACAAGGTTTCTGAGAAGTGGCTGGTGAGTTTGAACTGCCGACCTCTGTGTTAGCACTCCAGGGCTGACCTCACAGTGCCACACCAGGGCTCAAAGGTTTACATTAGAGTTTTCTTGTATATTTTTGTGATTTTCTTGTGTAGGTGGTGGGTTGTTTTCACAGTTCCATGAGGTCAAATTGGCAGATTTGGGAAACCAAAAACCAAGCAGAGAAGTGGGAGCCGTGTGACGGACGGCTGGTGTCAGTCACGGTGAAGAAGTTGGAGAGTGAGTGGGGTGTGCACATCTGGAGTCTGCCTTGCAGGGACCAGCTCCATCTCTGACCATCCAAGGCATTAGCAAGGTGACCAGATCAAATGAAACAAGTCTTTAGTCAGCCCTTGAAATGACCTTCCAAAATGTTTTTTGGTAAATCTTCAGCCCCATCTGTAATTCAATGCAGGGAGGGGGGCCACCCTAATGTGTCACTGCTCACATCCTAGGGACCGGCCAGGGCACACACTTGTTCTCCTCTGTGGAGCAGACCTTACCCTCTCTCTTGCTTATTTTCTGGGGACTCTGTGAGGTACCCGGAAACCCTGTACAGGGTCGCTATGGGTCGGAACCGACTCGACAGCACTTAACAACTGTGAGGTATAGGTGTAGATGGTTTTGTTGCTCTGTGAGTGCAGGATTATTTTATTTTCCACTTGAGCTATGTGGCTGCTTGAGAATGTGAACTTTATGGAGAGCGGCTGTGTGCTAGGTCTGGCACATGCAGACCTCACGGCAAAGCTTTCCACAGGTGACCCAGCGCCCCCCGTTTTAGGTGGGGGCACTGGCTCTGCAATCGTCTGTGTTTGTCCCCAGTCCTTGTGCCCCTTTTCAATGCTGATTGCATTCTGAGGTTTACGATCAGGAAGCCTAGTGTAGTAGCTTTCCCTTTGAGACCTTCTCCTGTCTCCCCCCAGTGACTTGAGAGGCCCTCCGTTCTGTCTTGTCCCCGTGGCTGCTCATTCATCTCGTTGTATGCGGCTTTTCGTTCCCGTCATGCTGACAGACCTGAAACTGTTCATGTGTGGTTTGTGAGGTGAGGCGCATGGAAGCCTTGGCATTTTCTGGGGCATTCTGAATGTTATCAGTGACACCCTTTGTCCCCTTGGCCATGCACCGTCATGGCTAGCAATCTGTGGGATCTGTGTTTAGTCATGCATGTTTCTCACTGGGAGGCCGATTCTAACCTCAGCCAGCTGAGATCTCAAGATAGAGGGGCTGAACTCCAGCTCAGTCAGTGCCAGGTGGGGTCTCAGACTCGGGGTTCCTCCATGAGAGGTGTTTGCTGGCACGACCTTCTCTTAGCACAAACGGTCCAGCCAGGCTTCGATGTGACCTCACCAGAGCTACCAGGGAAGACCAAGCACACAAGAGGAAGCTTTCAATGTGCCAGATGCCCCAGGTCTCCTCTCGTTCCCATCCTGGGGTCTGAGGAGAGCACCTCGTCTCTCAGGGAAGAAGAGCTCCAGAGGAGGCTGAGTGCGGTGGGTGCCTAGGTGGGCACCACGGGCACCAGAACAACGCCAGACAAGTCCACACTTAGGCTCCTGGAGCAGCCCCGCAATGGGCTACACTGTTAAGACTCGAATGTTACTGGAAATACTTTAGACGAGTCAGCTAAAGTATTTATGGGACCACTTGAGTCTGCTGGGAACCACAGGGCTTGTTGTGATCAGCCAGTGGGGTGGTGAGGACAAGAGATAGTTCTCCTCCCCACCCCCCACACACACCAGAGAGAAACAACAAATCCAGGCAGTGGGCTGGGCTGAGGACAGCAGTGGAGACAGAGCTGGTGCACAGAAAGCTCCGAGGGGACAAGACGTGTGACAACAGCTTGTTCTTGGGACCAGGAGTGGGGTCTTTGCATTGCAGCCTTTGTAGCATTTTCGAGCTTTGTCCATGGCACTGAGACTGCCGCATTCCATCGGTTACAACAGCTCAGAGGACAAAGACACTGCTCCCTACTTTCGCTGCCCCATTCCTTGATTTTATGTTCAAAGATGGTGAACTTTAGATTCCCAAATGCAAAACAAAACAAAACCCAATCTAATGCCGTGGAGTTGGCTCC